AGATCGGGCTCTACTGGATGTGGAGCTGACAGAGCTGTCACGACTCGTTGCCTCACTTTCCTTATTAGTACGGATTTCCATAGATTTGGATCTATTCTTATTAAAGCTAAACCTTTTCCTGATTGCCGCGATTATATTGCGGGGCTCTTTAGATCGGGAACGACTCGCTGTGCACCGACACATACAGCACATACACCACATACAGCACATACAGTATGCAAACGAGTATTTTTAGTCACATATTAGCCAATCATTGGTTTGCATGAAAATAACGGAAAAGAATTTTTGTTTTATTTTTGTTGCAAATACTTTCATAGAATAATACATTAAAGACTTACTCTTGTGGTCTATCGTCGAGTTGTTGGATGAGACAAAACTCCCATCGTTTATGGAGGGATTGTCTGGAGTTCCCCGTCCGGTGCCATAGCCCTCACTGCCACCGTTATCCGACGCCTGGGTTCACAAAGGGTTCAATTGTAGGGTTTCATAAATTCTTATATTTAAAATATTTTAGTATAAGACCCCACAAAATAAATAAAGCACTTATTTAATTTATATTCACAGAAACTATATTTCCAAATATTTAATAAACTCTCAAAACTAATCACAATATAAATATTATATTAAACACAATTTTAAGAATCCTTGACATTTTTAATATTTAACGTTTAACTTGTAATTTATAACAATTGTGTAATGAAATATTCAGTGCAGTATATACAATTAATTTTATAACATAAAATAAAACCTCAATAAATTAAAATTTGGGAGAATAGCTATTATTGTTAAAATAATTAAAGAATTACAAAGAATACAAAATTCTAATTTATAATAAATTTATACTAATTTAAATTGAAGTAAAATATTTGTCTACAATTTATAAATTTATATTATATATTATGTATATTAGAGGACCGATTCAACTGATAATTCTATACATTTCAAAAATCAAATTTTTTCGTATATCAATATAATTTTTAAAATTATTTTTTTGCAATACAGTACAATATTATTAAAACATTTTATAAGAAAACATTAAGGTTATATGAAATGTCAAACAATCATCTAATAAATAACGATTTAAAATTTATTTATAAAGCAATTGAAAGTATTTTTTCACATTTACCCCTCCTTTATGTATCTATTTTAAGACTATTTCACACTTTATTTAAATAAGATCACTAAAACGTTTGACTTTTATATTTGGCTGCAATTGTGAATAATTTTGTGAATTTATTTGATATCTTATGAAATAGTACGTAAAGATCAAATACTTTTATCACTTACCCTATGAGTGCTATGAATCGTTAAATTGCTTTTATTCGTGTTATTGTCTTTGAAATTATGATCATTTAAACCAAATTCGGTGTCATTTTGATTGACTAAATAATAAACAGTTAAAACAATAAATATAAATTAAAAATAAAACTAAAAATTTAGTATTTATTGAAAAAATACCAAAACAATGTTTATCATGCAAGTTGGAGGTTTCATGCATTTCCACCACTCCATCACCATATATTGTATTGTCTATTAGAATCTTATTTTTCCAATTATAAGATCCATTATTTAAGTTATTGTTTGCCTTTTTCTTGTGTTTCTTTTTAATTTGTTTAAACGACTCTTTGCTAAAACCATTTCTTAAAACATGGCCTAAACTTTTGGACTCATTCTTACAACCATTCTTATATTTTGTGTTTAATTTAGTGATCACTTGATTTTCTGGCACTGCTAATTCTTTCATGTTATAAATGTTATGATTATCAGTAATGGTGTTATCACTTGTATCCCCTCCATCATCACAACTATCATTACCATCATTGCTATCACTATTGCTTTCTATTCCTAATATAGAATCTATAGAAGAGACCGAATATAAGACTCGAGGATTTCTATGACATCTTTCAAAACATGGTTTTGTATTTGTATTTGTATTTGTATTGATTAAATCACTATTTTGATGAGTAATTTGATTGTTATTATGAATACTAATAATGTGAGGGTTGTCTGGAGGGCTAGACTGAGGACTTTTTATTTGAATATGAATTGTTTCTCTTTCTTCTGACTGTTTTGTCTCTTCATTCAAAGTGAGCGGTAATGGTGTGGGAAATGACTCTCGAGTCGCTACTATTAAATGATTCAAATGAGTGGGAATGCTATGAGTGGGCACTGAATAAAAGTTTTTGCGATAAAGTTTTAATATATCGAAAGGATTTCCTTTGAAATCGGACCGTAGGGGCCATTCCTTAACAGGTGTTCCCAGTGATTGACAAACAGGTATTTGTGAGCGACTTATTAATGGGGGTATTATTGGTACAACAATGGATGATATGTTATCATATGAAACAGATCTCTCAATATTAACGGCTTGTTTATCATTTAGAAATGGATTTGTATTAATGACATGCAATTCATTGAACGGATTATTATAATGAGTGTTAACAGTAAGTGCATTCATATCGACAAAAGGGTTTCGATTGGAACCGTTGTCTCGCATTTGTTCCGTTACTGAAGACATAGTATGCGTATGAGTATCACAAATATTATCTAATGATTATACATATGGTTAGAAATGATAAGTTTTTGATGCAATGAGTTGAGGATTACTTTGCTCTGCAATCACATCCAAAACGGGTGTTTCTGTTGTTTCTACAGATTCTATGGATTCGTGACATTCGTCGGCATCACTGCTCACTATAATCGGCACATCTTTACAGTATTAATACAAATTAGAATTAAGCTTAGTTTCAAACATTCTTACACTACATGTTATATTATATTAATTATAGCTAATAATGTAAGATAATTTTTATAGTTTAAAGCAGAATTTGTTTATAATAGAGTTTACAACATTCATTACAAATGTTATATTAATGGTGGTTTAGATAGTAACTAAAGATTTAGAGTTAAGAATTTACTATATTTATAAGTTAAACTCCTTTTCACTATAAATTATTTGTACCGGTAGAAATACCGTAATAACTTATAATTTCTAAAACAATATAAGCAAACCTTTATTTTTGGAGACAGTTCCGTTTGGTTTAAATAGGTTTGCCTCAAATATTCCGAGACCTGTATTCTTGGGTGAACCAGAAATAGGTGTCGCATCTGGCGATGTGTCACCACTACTGTGTTCAATGAATAGGAACTGTTTGGTTGTCAAAAGCAAATATTAACACAATTCGTTATATTTGAATATATTTTTTAAAATTATAAATATATGTGATATAACATTATCTCACACTCACTTCGACTGATAGGGATCCCGATATCTGGTCGGCCTCTAAGGGTCGGGGCTGTAGTTTCAGCACTTGATTCTGACTGGGATTGAGCTTCAATTCATTGACACTCACTATTCCTAAACCTAAAAATTTATCTAAAAAATACACACAATACAAAACGTCAATAATAATAATAATGAGTATTTAATAATAATTCTAACAAACAAACTGATAGTGGAATCGAAAGTGAAAACAAGTGATAGGATACTAACCGTTTGTTTTGTCATATAATTCAAACAATATTTCAGTCGATTCTTCCTTCAGATTACTGTCATATTAATGAACGATAAAAACGGTTTAAATGTCAATAGAATAGAGAGTAATAGCAAATAAATGGTAGTTTCAAATAAGGGCCGTTTCCTCTAGCATTTGAGCCCTTATTTAAAAACTAAATTTAAATATTAGTGTAAATGTTGTGTGAATTACAAAATGAAGTGTTCGTTCCAAACAGGACTCGAGGTATTCTTGATTGTGGAGGTGTGGGCCTGTTGTGGGGGTTCGTCCACTTCTATCACACAATACGGATCGTATATACCTTTAAGGAAAGCAACACTTCCCGTCAACATTCATACGATTAAATCAAATATTTTTAATAAATACCTTTATTGTTAACTCTCAGACCATTTGCTTTGACAACTTTGACAAATAGTTTGCGTTCAATAGTTTTCTGAAATATTCAAAAATGGGTATAATAAGCGGACAAATTAAATGATTAAAAGTTGTGCCAAAACTGACCGAATTATGAAAACCAATACTATTTTGTTGATCCGTTCGCTTAAACCTCGGAAAGTCTTGATAACCCGAAAGACACAAATCTACAACACTTTTAGTGATTGTGTTTATAATGGCGTTAATTATAGCGTCTTCGGAGACAATCTTGTGGTCAGATTTCTAAATAGTATTAAATAAGCTTATTATAACATTTTGCACACAACTAATAGTGAACTCATTTTTAACAGTGAAATATAATACAATTTCTTATAATTAATTCACAGGAAATGACTGAACGAAAATGAAAGTTAGAGGAGAATAGCAAATATTTAATACAAATTATTTATTATAAAAGATATTGAGATATCAATATCATTAACGTCTTAATCACTGGGAGTAACAAAAAAGATATTAACAAATATTTGTGCAAATATTTTCATCACCATCATATAATTAATATAAATTCTTATCTCATATTAATGTATTAATTGTATTATAATTTACCTGTTTATGATTCTGAAGACTTTTGATCGCTTTCAAACTGGCTTTAAAATCAGGTCTTTCCACAAATCTCACGACAAACAGTTGTTCTTCGCTAATGCATACGATTTTCATCTAAATTTTTCATTTAAAAGTTAATCCATAAGAAAATTATATAATGAGAGCACAGCATTCCTGTATGCCTACCATTCCTTCAAACCTATCCATATGGAGCTCGTATAGCATGGGTTCCTCGCTAACAGAATCGTTATCTCGAAATGCTTTCACTAATAGTTTAATTCCTTTGGTTGAGATTTTGCAGTTAACCGTCTATAGGGAAGCAAATCCTCGAAATTAATTGTATTTTTTAATTTTTTATTTAATAACAAAAAACAGTATTAGTTATATTATAAAATTTTGTATTATTTATTAATATGTAACTATATTTTATATTACGTATATAAAAATTTATAAATAAAATACATAAATAATATAGCTATCGTATAGCTTATAGTTATTGCACTTACTAATTTAAATAATAAGTATCATATTTTAGATAACATATTTAAAATAAGTAGTAGGCAAAGATTGTAATTAAAATTTAATATCATTTATTGTAATATAATAAACAAAATATAAAACTAAAAATTGCAAAGCAAACTAAATATTAAATCTGCAAATATCCATAAAACATATAGAAGTCGGTTTGATTATCTTAAAATTGTTGTAATAGTTGTATATTTGCTTTATATAATTGTTGTTTATCTAATAAAATTATTCAAAACATTTGTAAATTGTAATATTGTAAAAGTACTAAATTTAAACTATTATATGTAATTCCTACTGATTTTTGTTTAAAACTAAAAACCGAGAAAATAATATTACATAAAATATGGTAGATTTAAAATTCTAAAGAGAAACTCTGTTTCAAAATCATCGAAAACTTCTCTTAAATAAAATATTTTCTGCATTAAATTTTGCAAATTAGCACAAAATGATGTTTGGGAATCTGTATAATTAAATAAATTAATGCATTGTAACGAAACGTTAACAAAAAGTCATTGGACTGTTTATGTCATACACACAAACATTTTTTAATGAATTCAATTCAATTTAGAATACAGTATACCTGGTTGAGTAGGGTGTTTGTGTAATATCTTGATTACAACACTTGAAAGATAGAGATTTATTAAAATTTATATTTATAGTAATTTTTGCAAAGATTATTTAAACTTTAATTCTTTAAATATTCCAAAGATTTGTACAACTCAAATTGTATAATATACATCTGGAAGATATTATCTATTTCATTATATTCATTGGGAATTAAACTATGAGAAAAGGAATAGAGTAGCACTAAAATTACATAAATTCCTGCGTAAAATGCATGTAGTTAATATAGTATATACACAAATAAGACCTTGCGCTTCTAAGCTGTCAGGCTAACATGTAAGGAATATTATACCAACATAAAAGCATCAATATATTTGTTAATATAATTTATTGAATACTTATGATTACGTATAGTACCGATATACAGTATATATGTATGTATGCCTTTTAAGCATTCAAACATCAAGGCTGCAATAAATTGGATATTATAGAAATTTCAAAATTATTAACTCAACATTTGAAACATTCATAAGTCAGCTAAAATATTATATTATAAATGAGACGAGAAATGACATAATATGTCTAGCGTTTAAACATAAATTCGTGTTATTTGAAAATTACGTGAATTCTATGGATAACAAACATAAGGTATTCACTGTTTTATTTGTCGAGTACTTCATATTTAGCAGAAAAGTAGTATAAATAATTAAAGCAATGAATTATGCAATCGTTAGGTGTTATGGTTTCAATAAATTCTAGTCAATATATAACAACACCCTTTCATAAAATTTTATGACAATCATATATTGAATTTATATTTTATGTTTATAACTTTATTTCCATGTTTTATTAAGTCTAACGTTATTGTCTAATCAAAGCTCTTAAACCATTGTTTTAATTAAATCAATTGTATTTATAGTATTGAAATTTAAATTCTTTTGATTTTGTCATTACATTATCTGAAAATGTTTTTTATTTAAAAATTTAATTGGGAATCACACGTATATTTTATGTTAGGATTTTTCTATGAATTCAAATTAAGGACTATTTATTCTTCAATTCCCTTTTACTCTCAGCACTTAAACTCATTATTCAAATATAATGAGAACATAATAATTACAATTTATATATTTAGATCATTAAATAATTTTCCTAAGAAGTTTTACACCAATTTTATGCTATGTTTAGTTTTAGAATGACTGCAATTATTAGGAATTAATAAATATAAAGTTTAGAAATGTTTTCTAACTTTTATCTACATATCAGTACTGGTAAATTATAGATAAGTACCTAAACCACTGTATTGACAGACAGTTAATTTAATTATATTTTTGAGGGAAATATAGTTATTTAAGTTGTGAGTTATTTGAGATTAAAACACATACAAACCCTAACGAAAGGGAATTTTATTTAATTCCTAATTTATATTATATACATTCATTTTATTTATATTTTCCTTTAAGTCAAGGATAATATTTACCTTTTATTTGTTTTATTTAATAAATTTGTATTCAAAGAATATTTTTAGCTTTAGGATTAATTTTTATAATAACTAAATAAACTTTTATTGTATTTTCAATCACTAAACAAATCAATTGTTAAAATATATTATTTGCAACTACTCAACCGTAAATTACAATAAATAACTATAATTAGTAATTACTAATTATTTACTGTACTGTATTAATGCATTACAAATGTATTACACACTTTATAAGAAAATAGTCAACTAATAAAAATAGTCATAATAATATTATAAGAATAAAGTCCTATCATTACATGTTATTAATTAGTTAACAATTATTAATTATTAAAGGACATTAAAAGTATTAGTATTATTTCACATACTACAGCACACTATGTACAGTACTACAGTGTTAGATATTTATTTCAATTTAGTCATCGAATTGTTGTATTTATGTTTGCTTAACTCAAATACAGGTATATTAGCATTAAACACACAATCGTGTGTCAAATGTAGTGATAAGACTTCATTCTTATATTATGACTATTTTTATTAATAATTTATTTTCATATACCGTACAGTATGAATTTGTATACAACTTTCCATAACTTACAGACTCTAACTTATAGGTGTTCGCCACTTAAGTCTTAACAAATTCCAAGTCTAATGGAAAATATATCTCAATGTTAAATATTTGGCGGACTGAATTATTAAATGAAATCATTCATTCATTCACGGGTTTTTAATTTTTTTGTATTAAATATAAATCGCATAATTTCGGGATTTTATTTGTATCCATGAATTCATTTCAAATTATTTATAAATCTTTATATTTTTAAATTATTATTTTTCGAATGCTATGAATATAATTATGAAAATTCAGTAATTATTGGTATAATTAAATTAAATGATAATTAGATTTGTGTATTTAAATAGAAATTTTTATCAAGACAGTTGTTGTGCAGAAATGAAAAAGTTTTATGATTAATCTCACAATATGTTGATAACCTATCACTGATAAGTGTTGTTATTTTTTTATAAGAAACGAGATAATGCAATAAAAATAAAAACATTTAAAAAGAATTAATTTGTCAACATATTAGTAACGACTACAGTAGTTTTCATATATAATATAAAATGAAATTAAAAATACATGAGGCATAACAACTTTATATTGTACAACTTATAATAAATACTGTATAAATTCTTACGATATTATCATTGGATTCCTTATCGACCATAACATTAGACAATTCGGGTGTAAAACTCTTGTCGCGGCATAACTCTGAGAATTCCATTGAGAATCCATTCTATAAATAATTAATTAATTGTTGGCATTTAATAAATGGTCTAATTTAAATTTCAATAGATTGTATTTCTTACTATGTACATACAGTATACCATTAAAAATTATATTTACATTTTTATTATTTATTAGTATTAATTTTCATTCAATAAAACTCTAATTGAAACTTTTATTCTCATATGAAAATATAGTAACTCTAATAAAGACAACATAATCTAAACTATTACAGTATAACATAACTTAAACATTTATCCTCTAACCTCAATAAATACACAAAAATAACATAAAAACTAAATTGAATAATTATTTCAAAAAAATACTAAATATTTCACATACAGTACCAGTATTACAAAGTACAAATAATAATTTATTTATAGATTTATTTCAAAAATGTTTATAGATTATAGAATGAACACAAAAACTGATTAAATAAAGTGATTAATAATATTCTCGTCGGAGTATGCGATAGAATCTGTATTTTTGAATACTGTATGTTATCTATAATTAGAATTTTGTTCATAACTTAATCTCACAATTAACTCACATTCACTTCTATACAAATAAACTAGAAATCTGTGTTTCACTCGATCAACAAAATATGATTAAGAATTAATGAGTTAATATGCAATATTTGTTTTAAATAGACAGCTTCTTAAGATTTTTGTAAAACTTTTATTTATACTATATTTGTAGAGTTCTGTCAAAATATTTGTTTCTTAAAAATATATGAAAGACTTAAAGACTCACATCTTTTGATAGTTTCCGGTTCTGATTGTTCAGAGAATTCAACCAAATCTCAAACATTGACTTAAGAATCGTATCGTTTTGTGAGAAAAACCATTGAATAATATTATTAATCCAAAGGACACAATCTCTGTCCGGACCGATGGCTTCATTGGACTTCAAAACTTTGTTCTTATGGTCCAAACCGACAGAAGTCTTAACGATGGTATCACTGTTGCTGTGATCATCGATTTTGGTGTCATTTATTTGTTTTCTTTTGTTGATCACCACAACTAATATATTGCCCACAGAATAGACTATGAGTGCGAAAACGACCCAAAATATGAGAAGCATTGTCGTCCAGTCTATGGTCTGCATTACACCCAAACGTGTCATTAGTTTGTGAAGACTGTCGATTGAAGCCACAACTAAATCGCTTACATTTGACAGAATCTGTTGGACGACTCCGGTAGGGCTGTCAGTGCTCATCGTGAGGGCTCACAAAAGGGATTCAGTTCGCGCACAACACAAGAAACTTTGGCCCAGTATTGGAGTCTATGTTTAAAACATGTAATATTCGCGTCACTCTCTCTACCTCTCTCTCACTACTACTCTCCCAGAGTTATATCGGGTTTCGCATGGAATTCGTGCCAACACTTCAAAAATTGATTACTCAGACCAAGAAATGCAACTATTTTTGTGATCTCTCTTTCCCTCACTTGGCTTTACCTCAAACACAAGGCCTCTCAGTGGCGCTCCAGCTATAGTTAGGTGCGCACCGACACCCCCCATCCACACACATCTCATTCGGGTCCTTACAATTGCTGTCTAATTTGAATACCGGCGCCGACTCGTACTCGCACACGTTATTGTTGTAGACATTTTTGCGGTAGTCGTTTGGCGAGCAAATACAGTTCCCCTCAAAACACATCCGCTGTTCATCCCAACCGCTATAACATTCATTGTCTTGTTTGCAGGCATACGGCTCACACCAACCACTCGCTGGATTTCTAATGTAATTCGTACGGCACCGGCACTTAAACCGAACGCATTGCATATTTACGTCTCATTGATCGCAGCCATCGCCCAGGTATGTGACTATAGCCATATTACAGTCCGCCTCTCGGTACCAGTCAAATGAGCGGTCACCGCCATTACTTAACCTACATTTACCGTCAGAACACCGTCTGTCCTTGTTACAATCAGCGGTACTATTGCAGTAATAGCGTTGACAATTTTCCCATTTGTAATCCCAGCTATAATTGGTGTCACACATATAGTACCCGTCCCGACATAACCCTTTTGGACCACAATACTCGTCAGAAGTACAGTTTGGTGGCACAAGTAGTTTATCTAATTTACGTAACTTTGCTAATTTTATTGACAGTAAAATCACTAATACATTTAATATTAGTTTATAATTCATTATAAAAAAGTTTCTTAATGTAGTTTGATTGCAATTATTATAAACTTTCTAACTAGTTTATATCAGTAAATAATTGAGAAAAAGTATTTAACTATAAAACTACTTTGGAAATATCAATTCTGCCACCAATGTAAATTTATCACATTATATACTATTATTATATTTATTTATTCAATATTTAAACTGGCATTTGTTGATTAGATATTTATTGGTTTGACCTAAGTTTAGCAAATAAAATAAAATGTTAATCTGTTTTATGTTATAATTCAAAATACTTTTATTAATTTATTATAAAATATAAATATAAATAGAAACTAAAATTAATTGAATTTTGTAAATATTATTGATTTTGATCTCAAAAGTTGATTTACCATGGAAAATTATTAATAAAAAAACTATAAATTAGTATAATTTTGACCAAAAGTGAAAAGCATTAGAGAAGGACTGTATACCAAATACTGAAAATACTAATTAATGCATAAACAGGCCATACCTAATAAGAGGCACTAACTGTTAGTGACTATCACACTGGACAGTATCAACAGCCCGGCCAATACATGCCTAGACATAGACCTAAACTGGCATTTCCTAGTATTCAAATATACATTATTAATTAATTATTTACATATTTCACGTCATTTCTTATGCAGGGCTTAAATGAATTTAATTATTATGATCTAATGAAATTTAAATTTCAAAATAGTTATACTTTAATGATATTGTATTATGGTATTGTTTAGTAAATATAAACATTACTACTGTAACATTATTAAATATTTATTGTTAATATTGTTTGAAAGATTTTAAATTGCTGTAATACATAATTTTTACAATTTCTTTAAGCATTTTAGTGTTAAAGCTAAACTATTGTTTAAATTTTTATTAATAATTACACAGTCAAAATAAACATAATTATATTCAAAAAGCTAATTATATAATTTGTGTTCACATCGGTGCTGAAAAGGATTGGTATTTGCATTTAGCTAAGGGTGCGTCATATATTTCTTGCCTAAATCGACCTGTATCATATTATAAAAAATTCATATTAATCATCATATATTTCAATTTAAAACATTGGACAACCCTACCATGCCAAGCTATACATACTTAAAAAATGGGGAATTCACATTTGCGACCATTCCTCAGGTTTTCCGTATACCCAACACCCGTACACTCGCACTGACCCGACCGACACTTCCTAAACATATCCCACGAGTGAATACACGAGTCATGTGAGCGGCACTCGTAGCTCACACATCGACTCTCAGCGGAACTCCAGCTATAGTTAGGTGCGCACCGACACCTCCCGTCCACACACACCTCATGCTCGTCCAGACAATGGCTATCACCGTGACATACAGGCGCCCATTTATACTCGCAAACGCTATGATTGTAGACATTTTCGCGGTAGTCATTTGTGGCACAGATACAGTTCCCCTCATAACATATCCTATTCGGATCCCATTCCCGGACACAAGCGCTGTCTTTATCGCAGGTATACCTCTCGCACCGACCACTCTGAGGGTTCCACTCGTAGTTTGTACGGCACCGGCATTTTTCAGCCACGCAGACCTGATTAATATCCCAGTGATCACAGCCATCGCCCAGGGATGAGACGATGGCTATATTACATGCCGGTGCCCATTCCCCAATGTCAAATGTATATCCATATCCATTCCGATAACATCTATTACTATACATTGAACAAGTACTATTTTGGCAAATATCTAGTGAGTTGTTACAAGTGTATATGTGACAGCCTTTTAAGTCATAATGCCAGCTATAGTTTGGAGCACACATACAGTACCCTTCCGTACACAACCCATTTTGACCACAATCCTGATCCAAAGTACAGTTTGCTGGCACTCGTGGTTGATAAAGGTAACTTGCCAGTGCTAAATGTACTGGCAACCACATAATAAATATGGTTAACGTTAATTTTTTGGCCATTTTAAATAATAATATAGATTTTAAGAGCTGTTTGAATTACACCTAATTAACTTATAGCAAACATTACAAGTATTTATAGCAAAAATTATCTATATTGTTAATTTTTATAAATCTATTTGATCTAAGCAAATAAACCAAACTGATAACAATATTTAATATAATATATTAATTTATTAATTTAATAAAATAATCAATTTAATAAAGTTATATTACAGCTTAGAATATTTAAACTGGCAATATTGATTAGATAATTGAGAGTCCAAATTAAATCTTAAATAAATAAAGCATATAATCTATATGATATAAACATTGTAGGTAAATTATCTCACCAAAAACTAGAATAAGTTCAAAATATTAAAATACTTATTTTAATAATTAAATTAAAAAATAATGACTATTATTATAAATACATCAACTATTTTATCAAAAATTATAATTCATTTATTTTTGCATTAATCAATTTATATTAATTTATATAAATTCATTATTGTACTAAACCATTGATAATAAATAATTTTGCATAATGCTAATTCAAAATTATTATTTTAATAAAAGTCGTACGTTTAATATTTACTGATCTGTTTGATCAACAAATAAACAATTAATATAAGAATAATGATCATCAAAGCACTAATAATTAATATAATCCATGTACTGTACATACAGTTGCTGAAAATGGCTGGTATTCGCACTTAATTACATTCAATGTGTTCTCCTTAAGGCTATTATCAGTTGGCTCGTACTGATCCGACCTTTTATACCTTAATAACATATAAATTAATATCTCATAAAACATAGGACAACACTAATGTCCACACCCATACATGCATACCTGGATGGATAAGGATATTCACATTTGCGTCCATTCATCAGGTTTTCTGTATATCCATAGCCCGCACACTCGCACTGACCCGACCGACACGTCCTTAAATTATCCCATAATTTAATACAGTCTTCACTCTCCCGACACTCATAGCCCACACACTGGCGCTCAGCCGCACTCCAGCTATAGTTGGGTGCGCACCGACACCTCCCGTCCACACACACCTCGTTCGGGAGTTGACAGTGACTATCAATGTGACATACCGGAGCCCATTTGTACTCACATACACTATGACTGTAGGTATTTTCGCGGTAGTCGTTTGACTTGCAGATACAGTTCCCCTCATAGCATACCCGATGCGGATCCCAATCAAAACTGCATTTCCAGTCCGTATCGCAAGTGAATTGTTCGCACCGACCACTCGCGGGATTCCACTTATAGCCCGAATGGCACTGGCATTTATTTGCCACACAATGTCGGTTTGCATCCACTTGGTTGCACCCATCGCCCAGGGAGGCTACCGTACCAATATTGCAATCCGGCTCCCAAGCCCTATGAAATAAACTCCCTGAAGAATATTCCCGAATGAGATAACATCTACCATTCCCACAATTTTGACCGCCACCACAATGACTATCAGATTGACAACTATAGCGTTCACAACTGTTAGATTTGAATGCCCAGCTATAATTGGTGGCACACATACAGTACCCGTCCGCACAATGCCCTCTTAGGTCACAATTTTCATCGGTAGTACAGTTTGGTGGCAACTGTAGCTTATACACATCAATTGCTAATGTTACCAATGGTATTACACATATAAAAATTATCTTTAGCATTATTATAAAATATATATTTTATAAGTTATATTAAAATAATGTATAAAATAATTTCTCAGTTATTAATATATATAATTTACATTATTGTAAATGCAATTTAACAATATTAAATCCACAAACCAAGTTAAATATTTGGACACAACCAACTAATGACATCTTTAAAAACGATTTTATAAGTATTTATTTATAATTCATTATTTGAATTGACAATTTGAGATGAGATATCACTTGACTTATGAATTATAAATTTGCTTTAAATATAGCATTCATTTGTAAGCAGAGTTCAGTGGCATGTTTCGTATAATAAATACAGATGTAATTTCAGGATTGTCCAATTAAAACCTAACAGGAAAAAATATTAACAAGCATTTATAAAGAAAATTCACTACATAAGTTTAATTTAATTTTATCAGTACATTAAATAATTTTTGACTTAAATACATACAGATATCATTGATTTGACAGCAAAACTAACATTAATGTAACATTTAATTTTTAAAATATTATTTCTAATTATGGTGAAATATGATAATATAATTAGTCCTTGTTACATATTTATAAAACAAATA